TTTGTCGTGTGGTTTGAGAAGATCTGCTTCAGTGGAGATGATTTTGGATTAGCCTAGGTTTATTTTTGTCAGTGTCATAGAGCGTCATCTCCTGACCCATTCCTGATTCTTTCATCATTTGTGTTTTTCTCCAGTGATTAATTTTCACATTCACAGTTAGAACCAAAATAATTGTCTTGGCCTGGAACAACCTGCATGACCTGATAACTCGTCCATTTTGGGGAGGTTTTAGAAAATCTGCATATTGCTGAGTAACTATATTAAGCCCTTTTAAAAGTGCTGATTCTGCACCAAGTTAGAACTGTGTGGGGGGAGCTGTGAAAAAATTGCCAAACTTCTAGGAATACTGGGAACAGATGTTTTTTGTTTTCTACCATATAATTTCCAGTCCACTGGAAACTAAACATATGACCTTAGAAATATCATACTGAAATTCTTTCTTTACTGCATAAGACACCTCACTAAAATGAGAAAATGCAAATCTGAATTTTATGTTAGAGTTTCTCTTTTTTTATATGAACTAACATTAAATGTGTTCAGTATATTTTTCCCAATTCATTAATGCTAAAATGCTTTAATATATTTATTTAACTCAGAGAGTTTTTAAAGAAATTATTGACGTGGGAGTTTAGACCATTTCCCACAGTGCTTTTTTCTGATTGTTCTTCACTATTAAGCTTATAGATTAGATAAAGAAATCTTTAAGAACAAATTTTTCTGTTCCAATAATGCTATTTTACAATGTTATGTGAGGTTTGCTATAGAGAAAGGATAAGTGATACATATACACATTTCCCTTCTTGATTAGATTTCCTTCCCATCTAGGTCACCACAGAGCATTGAGTAGAGGTCCCTGTGTTCTCACCATATTTTTCAAGTCTCACTTCTCATTTGATTTGTTAAGAACTCTTAGCTTATTAAATCTATCTTGTTTGTTATAAAACATCCCAGGACTTTATTGTTCATGCCATCTATTACTTTTTTTTTTTTTTCATTTATTTTTATTATTTGGAGGCTAATTACTTTACATCATTGCAGTGGTTTTTGTCATACATTGAAATGAATTAGCCATGGATTTACATGTATTCCCCATCCCGATCCCCCCTCCCACCTCCTTCTCCACCCGATCCTTCTGGGTCTTCCCAGTGCACCAGGCCCGAGCACTTGTCTCATGCATCCAACCTGGGCTGGTGATCTGTTTCACCCTAGATAATATACATATTTTGATGTTGTTCTCTTGAAACATCCCACCCTCGCCTTCTCCCAGAGTCCACAAGTCTATTCTATACATCTGAGTCTCTTTTTCTGTTTTGCATATAGGGTTATCGTTACCATCTTTGTAAATTCCATATATATGTGTTAGGATACTGTAATGGTCTTTATCTTTCTGGCTTACTTCGCTCTGTATAATGGGCTCCAGTTTCATCCATCTCATTAGAACTGATTCAAATGAATTCTTTTTAATGGCTGATTAATATTCCATGGTGTATATGTACCACAGCTTCCTCATCCATTCGTCTGCTGATGGGCATCTAGGTTGCTTCCATGTCCTGGCTATGATAAACAGTGCTGCAATGAATATTGGGGTGCACATGTCTCTTTCAGATCTGGTTTCCTCGGTGTGTATGCCCAGAAGTGGGATTGCTGGGTCATATGGCAGTTCTATTTCCAGCTTTTTAAGAAATCTCCACACTGTTTTCCATAGTGCATGCCATCTATTTCTGATTAGTTCTAGGTCAATAGCATTCACTATTTTAGACTCTATTAGAACATGCTCAGATAACACGTGAGTGGTAAGTGGGTTACATAATTAGCAGGCATTAGCATTTGTGAAAACGTTTTGCTTGTAAATTTGTTTACTTAAAGCAGAAATTACTCATTACACTGCTCAACTTCTCCTCGCTTCATTGTTCCTATAGGTTTCTATCTTGACTTCTCTGCACCATACTCCTTTGTCATCTCATCTCGTCCAATGTTCTCTGTTTGTGGTCTCTGTTCTGCAGGCTGCAGATCCTAGTTCCTCTTGCTCTGGTGTCTGCTCCGCAGTGGGTGAGGCGGTCCAGAGACTTGTGCCCTTCTGCCCTTGAGAAGGCGTTGATTGTTACTATTGTGACCAGAGCCTGCCTGGATCTTGAGGGCCGCTTCGCCTTTCCTCTGTGGCTGTCACTGTCTCTGGCGGGGTCTGTGTCCTGATTGGTGGAGCAGAGGCTCCAGATCTGAAATAAGCTCTGTTCTGATCTGTGGTGCTTCTGATCTAGTGGGACTGGAGCACACCCACTGAGAGGAAAGCCACTGAGTGTTGCTCCTCTGGGGATGTTCTCCTCGGAGAGTGCTCTGCGTGTCATCTTTCATGTGCTGTGCGAGCTCTCGTCTGACCCTGTGTTGGCATTGATCTTGGCCCCACCTGAACCATGGGTATGCTGGCACTTGACCCTGGTGTCTCTCATATGGTGTTTTCACCAGGTCACCAGCAGAGATCCACTGTAGTCATACCCCAGGTGTACATTCATTGTGGAGCTGGACCCGCTGTGGTGCTATGGGGGCAATGTAGACTGTGACCTGGCCCAAATGCCTCATGTGCATGCCTACAACGTCTACAGTTGCTGAAGCAAGACTGGTCTTGACTGCCAGAGCCTCATTTCCATCCAGATGTTCTGTTGGGGCTGAGTTTACCAAGCCAGTTGTGGGCTGTAACACCATGGTTTGTACAGATGCAAGGAGAAATCTCAGCTCTTCTTGCTTAGTGGCAGGGCCTTGGGGCTCAGCTGTGGTTTCAGCACCACCTGTACATTGGGACGACCCACAGGCATGTGTTCTGAATGTGCCCCTGGAGCCCATGAGTCTACCCTGGTGGGGAGGAGGCTGGGGATGAGGATGCAGCTGTGGGCGTCGTGAGATCACCCACCTAGGTGGGAGCCATTCCTAGTCCCTGGAGAGGCAGGGACAGGCAGAGGGGCAGAGAGGCTGCAAGGAGGTTCTTCCCTTCGGGCATCACTCAACAGTGCCGCTCTGCTTCTCTGGTGGTTCAGGCTTCCTCCACAAGCATCCCATTTGCCGAGCTCCTCCCTCCCTCCCGCCCACTCAGGATGTCTCCTCACGGCCAACCGCAGTCCTCTGCCTGGGTCTGCTCTCCAAGTACCACCTTCCAGCACCCATCCCTTGTCTGCATCGGAGGACACCCTCTCAGGCTGGGTGGGCAGGGCAGGGGTCAGTACCCTGCGTGCAGGTCTCACTCTGTCCTGCATGCTAGTTGCCGTGTTCTCTTCCCACAGAGAACAATGCTCCCCTTCTCTCCCAACTGAGCTCCCCCCAGTGAGGGGCTTCCCTGGATGTGGAGACCTCTCCTCTCTTCAGAAGCCCCCAGGGATTTGCGGGTCCCATCCTGCTTCTTTTCCTCTTCCCTTTCCTCCATCACTCTCCTGTCCTACCTGGCTCAGCAGGAATCCTTCTTGTCCTTTCAGGGGTCCAAGTTCCTCTGCCCATGTTCGGCAGGGCTCTGTGAGAAGTTTTCCACTTCAAGATGTTTTCTTGATGCTTTTGTGGAGAGAGATGAACTGCAAGTCTTCCGAAACCTCTGCCATCGTGACTCGTTTTATCTCGGTTTTAGGCTTAATCTAGCCAAGTCTATGCCAATTTTATGTACATTGTAAACTATATTCTCCAAGAATAGTAAGTAGAATAATTTATTATTTGGTATCTTTCAGCTGTGTCTTCTCACCACACCCAGGGTTTGAGGACCCAACAGCCAGGCTTAGAAGATTTACTCCCAACAGCAAAGCTAGGAATATATGAAAGATTTCACCTTGGAAATTTACATTTAACCAAAGACTGGAAATCTATGAGGGCATATAAAGAGCGGAGAGTATGTTATGGACACAACCAAGTTGGTTCAGTTTCCCATAAAGTAAACATTACCGCCAAAGGAAATCAAGGATGTGAATCAAATAAGGAAAAACCAATTTCAGATGACCAATTTCAGTCATCAACATCTGCAGTTAAGTGTTTATTTGTCAGCAAAGATCCACATCATCTCTTGAAATGTACATGTTCTCTGAATGGAAATATGGAAAATCTGGAAATTCATCTAGTCTCTCCTGCAAATACTCCTTCAAACCTACACTCTGAGCATAGCTGTCTATTAAATATACATTCAAACATGTCTGGAAACCAGAAGCTTAAACATGAGGGGGAACATTCCCAATGCAGTCAATTTGAGGGATCCTTTAACGAGGGTTTCTTGTCCTTGGACCAGCAACTATTTTCTCCTTGTTCCAAAATCTGTAATGTTGATAATAATGGGAGAGAACTTATTCAACCATCATTGCCCAATACGTATGGAGGTATAGTTAGTGTGGAACAACTTTACAAGTGTAACAAAATGAGGAATGCCTTAAGCAGGAGCTCTACCCCCAATAATTACCGGAGTATACATGATGGAATAAGAAGCTCTTCATGCAATGAAACTGGGCATAATGTTGACCAAGACTCATATCTCATGAAACAACAGGGACATCAATTTTCAGACAAGAATTCTAAACATCATAAGTGTAGGAATATATTTTATCAAAGCTCAAATCTTACTATTAATACTTATAAGAGTATGGATATTGGAGAGAAGACTTATAATTGTTATGATTATGGTAAAGTTGTTAACCAGTCTTCAAAACTTATTCAACAGCAGAATATTCAGACTAAGCAGAAACATTGCAAGTGTAATACATGCGGAAAAGTCTTTAGTAACTCACCAAATCAAAGTAGACATAGGAAAATTCATACAGGAAGGAAACATTTCAAATGTACAGCATGTGGCCAAACTTTTGATCAGAGTTCACATTTAACTGAACATCTGCGAATCCTTGCTCCAGAGAAACCATACAAATGTAGAGAATGTGGCAAAGTCTTTATGTCCTGTTCATGTGTTACTCAACATCAGCAAATTCATACTAGGGAGAAACCTTATAAATGTACAGACTGTGAGAAGACTTTTAAGCAGCGTTCAGGATTAACTAAACATCAGCGAATCCATACTGGGGAGAGACCTTATAAATGTACAGCATGTGGCAAGGCTTTTAAGCAGAGTTCAACTTTAACACAACATCAGCGAATCCATACTGGGGAGAGACCTTACAAATGTACAGAATGTGGCAAAGCTTTTAAGCAGCGTTCAGGATTAACTAAACATCAGCGAATCCATACTGGGGAAAGACCTTACAAATGTACAGAATGTGGCAAGGCTTTTAAGCAGCATTCAGGTTTAACTAAACATCAGCGAATCCATACTGGGGAGAGACCTTAAAAGTGTACAGAATGTGGCAAAGCCTTTATCCATTATCCACTTCTTACTTGACATCAACAAATCCATACTGGGGAGAGACCTTACATATGTACAGCATGTGGCAAGGCTTTTAAGCAGAGTTCAGCTTTAACACAACATCATGGAATCCATACTGGGGAGAGGCCTTATAAATGTGCAGCATGTGGCAAGGCTTTTAAGCAGCGTTCAGCTTTAACTGAACATGAGCGAATCCATACTGGGGAGCAACCTTGTAAATGTACAGAATGTGGCAAAGCCTTTATCAATTATTCACTTCTTACTCTACATGAACGTATCCATACTGGGGAGAGAACTTATAAATGTCCATCATGTGGCAAAACCTTTATCCGTTATTCTTTTCTTACTCGACATCAGCAAATCCATACTGGGGAGAGATCTTATAAATGTACAGCATGTGGCAAGGCTTTTAAGCAGAGTTCACATTTAACTCAACATCAGCGAATCCATACCAGGGAAAGACCTTATCAATGTCCAGACTCTGGCAAAGACTTTTCCCAGAGTTCAGGTCTTTCTCGACATCAGAGTTCATGCTGCAGAGAAATGTAAGGAATGTGGCCAAGGATTTCCTCACAGCCATCACCTCACTCACAATCAGAGAATTCATACTGCAGAGAAAGCCTAGAAATGAATCAGTGATAAAAAAGTTGCTCATAAATATACAATTTTGAAAAAACGAGTGTTTTCCTTGGAAAGATACATGTATGGAAAAAAAAAATGTAGAAAACTGCTTAATCAAACATCAAACGTAACTCAATACCAGAGAATTCATACTAGAAAGCATTTTATTCATACCACTTTTGTTAAATTACTCGAAGCAGAAACACTGTAGCAAGTATTCCATATGTAAAACATGTATAAAATTGATATGTTAGTATGGATCACAAGATGAAGGGTTGGATATTTGCAGAGGTATAATTATTATTCATGTATCCTTGTTTATGTTAATGTTATTTGAGGTTATTAAGGAACCAAAACGAATGTAATTCAACTCTCAAATTACTACATGCTGTGATTTTTTTCTATTGTATACATGAAATTATGTTTTTCATGGTTGTTGCCGAATGGTAAGAGAAGCCTTTCTATATTAAGAGGGAATCATTTACATTTATTCTCCAATTTATAAGATTAAGAACACAGTCATGTTATATACACACTAAACCTCTGAATGGAGGTATTTGTCACTGATGTCAAACACCTCTGGGGTCACCATGATGTAAGTGTTCAGGGAATAATTCAAAGTAAGACAGAAGTTTGCTCTAAGTTTTCAATAATTATGTCAGTTGCTTTTTAAGCATAAACCAAGGATAGTTCATGACAATCTAAGGTATTTTTATAACAGCAACATAGAAAAATCATGCATATTATCTGGCAGGCTTGAAGTAAGGACACCTTCTCTTCTATCTGATGTAAGTATAGAAAGCTCTGGAAAAGTCATATTAATATAATTAATGTCCATCCGTGTTTACTAAATTAGCCTCCATTTTGTAAACCATATAAGTCACATTCTCAGATCACTTCATCAGAGAAACAGAAAAGTTTTTAGAAGCTTGTAATGTGTATTTTAATCAAGGATGAAACAACAATTGTAAAAGATTTTATTCCATCTGTGTAAAATTAATGTAAATTAATAAAAGTGAATGGTTTTTCAGTGTTACAATTGATGTGGAATGAATGAAAGGTTAACGCACCACCAGCATTAACCTCTCCCACCTATTTAAGGTTGCAGGAAAGGTAACAATGATAAACTATTTGAAGCACAGGAGGATGGCATCTGTAGAAATTAGTTCCTTACTGCCATTAAACCTCTCATAACTTCATATATTTCCCACCATTTTTATGTTGTATCTCCTCTCTGATTTTTATGTACTTGGACATCGTGGTGGTTCTAATAAGAAGGATCATACAGAGCACTGTTGAGAGCTCCGCTGAGCTGCTCCATGCTGTTGCTGCCTCAGCTTCTGTCTGGGGAGCAGGCAGCCTGCAGGTCCTTGAACTCACAGCAGCCAGTCCTGTGAGCACCTGCACTAGATGACCCCTTCCTTGGCACCAGCAGTCTTGCTGAACCCCAGGGTCTAATCCACAGGCCCCCCTTCAGTGATACCCTCTGAGCTCACCAGAATCCTACTCGTCTTTGTTTGAATGGACCCCTCCACACTCGGCGTGAGGGACCCACAGCACTTCACCCAGGGTCAGGTCTGAACCCCAAGTACTGGAATTTTCTCTGCCTGGTTCTAGCCTTGACCTTCCTCAAGAGCCCTCAAGGCTTGCTGTGAATTCTCTGAGGACCTAAAATCCGAGTCATAAACTCACCTGCTGCAGTTGTCCTTTGTTCTTCTGTTAGCTAAAACTTTTCAGGGGCTCATTTAAGCAAATCTAAGCTTAACAAATTCACAAAAAGAATAACCAAAAGCCACGATGGGAAAATTCTGAACCAAGATTTAGAAAATCTTACCCTATATAATTCTTAGCACATGTGTCTTGTAAGGCTTAAAGGAACTGTTTTCTCATGGCTTTGTCATACTTTGAATGCAATATATAAAGATCTGAAGATATATACATAATGTAATTTACATAACACACATTGAATACAAGGTATAAATATCTGAAGGTGTACATGTTAGCAGTGAGAAACTCAAGTAGGAATATGTGAGTGTGTGTGTATTCTTACACATTTAACTTAGAGAATTTAGAGATGCTAGATCAAAACTGGTCATTTCAGAATTGCAGATGATTTACTAGAAACTGTAAAGATTGTCAATTTGTCGATTAATCTCTTTTGTCTACTTTTCATGGAATTCATTTCCTTAAATGTAAGGAGGTTATGTTTTTTAAGGAACTTCCACACGGTCCACCCACGTGACTGCACCAGCTTACATGCCCTCCAGCCATGTAGGAGGTTCCCTGATCTGCGAGCCCCTTCAGCGTTTATGATATTTTAGTGGGCTTTTTGCTCATTGTTGTTCTGACTGGCATGGGGTGATATATCCCTGTAGCTTTGTTCTGCGTTTCTTATTGTTTAGTGCTGTTGAGCATCTTTCTTTTGCCTCCTGTCCATGGAAAAGAGCAAGCTATCCGCCCAGCCTCAGCAGCTGTGGGGCACAGGCTTAGTCTCCCCACAGCATGTGGAGTATTCCTGAACCAGGGATGAAGCCCTTGTCCCCTGCAGGGTCATATGGATTTTCGACGACCGGATGACGAGTCTGTTTAGCTTTTTTTCCTTTTGAGACATATATATATATATAATGAATATAATTGCTTCACAATGTTGTGATAGTTTGTGCTGTATGACATCATCAATCAGCCGTAAGTATACAAAAATCTTCTCCCCCTTGGCCCTCCGTCCCGTGATCTCCGTTTCACCCGTCTGCTCAGCACAGAGCACCAAGCTGAGCTCCCTGTGGTAAACAGCAGCTTCCCACCAGCTACCTATTTTCACCATCAGTTCAGTTCAGGTGCTCAGTCGTGTCTGACTCTTTGCGACCCAATGGAGTTCTGCTCGCCAGGTCTCCCTGGCTGTCACCAGCAAGCTCCTGGAGCTTGCTCAAACTCATGTCCATTGAGTCAGTGATGCCATCCAACCACCTCATCCTCTGTCGTCCCCTTCTCCCCCTTTCAATCTTTCCCAGCGTCAGGGTCTCTTCAAATGTGTCAGTTCTTCACATCACATGGCCAAAGTATTGAAGTTTCAGCTTCAACATCAGTCCTTCCAATGAATATCAGGGCTGATTTCTTTTAGGACGGACTGGTTGGATCTCTTTGCAGTCAAAGGGACTCTCAGGAGTCTTCTCCAAAGTTTTACCCATGGTGGTGTATATACGTCAATGGTACCCTTTCACTTGGTCCCCCTCTTCTTCTCCTGCTGTGTCCATGTCTCATCTCTATATTTGTGCAAATATTGTCTTAACAGATATGTATGGAATTTAATAAATATATTGATGAATTTATTTGCTGAGCAGGAATATAGGTGCAGAGGTAGTTCTTAAGCTTTTGCCTGTTACGCTTTCAAGGCATAAAATACATTGACAGTCATTCCATGCATTTTACGGTTGTCGCCATGTGTTCTGGGAAACAAACTGACTCAGAAGGACAATGCAGATAGTGGAGTGCACTTTATTACATGGGCGGGGCCAAGGCAGAGTCTCCTCTTAGCCAAGGACCCCGAACAGTTTTTGTGAAAACTTTATATACCCTAAGTGTACTTGCTCAAACCCACCTCCCCAAATTCCTTGAAACTAGTCAGGACAAGTTAAAAGAGAGGTATGATCGAAGTTAACCCATGATTCATGTGTCACAGAACCAAATAAACAGTGGATATTTATCAACAGGCCTGTGGTCATATCCCAATAAACAGAATGGAATTTACCACTTTGTTCTGTTACAGAGATAATTAACATATTCTTTTAGGTAACAGATTCCAAGTACAAGTCCTGAGGCTCTTTTATGGGGGGGCGGGGTGGATCTGATTTCCCATTGGTATGCCATTTCTACAGACACCGGGGCGCAAAGCTCAGAGCCCACCGGGAGGGAGACCGTGCGTGTAGCCTGATGCTCGCAGCCTGGCCTAAGACGCAGTCCAGCTCTGTCTGTTTCCTCCTTCAATACTAAGTGAAAGAAGCCCATTTGAAAATGCCACAAAAAGTAGGATTTTTACAATATGACTTTTGGTGTAGGTAAATGTTAATATGTGGTCAGTTGTGTCTGAATATTTGTGATTCCCGGGGCTGTAGCCTGCCAGGCTCACCTTTGTCCATAGATTTCCCAGGAAAGGCTACTGGAGTGGGTTGCCATCTCTTCCTCCAGGGGATCTTCTTGACCCAAGGATCGGAGCCGCATCACCTGGATGTCCTGCATCAGCAGGCAGATTTCTTACCACTCAGTCACCTGGGAATCTAGTAAGAAATATAGAAGAGATTAAAAAGGTCCATGATTCCTGTGGGTTTCAAAGGAGGGACTATGAATAACCTAAGTCTAGAGAACTATCAGGACCATGAAATAATTTGTGTTAAACTGTCATGATGGACACATGTTATTAAATATTTATCTAGAGGTATGGAGTGCACATTCCTAAAAGAGGAACACAGGGGTAAACTAGAAAGTTTATCTATTTACTGCCAGTGTAGATTCATCAGTGGTAACAAATGCTCACTCTGGTGGGGAAAGCTAAGTAGGAAGACTGTCCACATGTAGGAACAAGAGGTATGTGGGAAATGTCTATACTTTATTCTCAATTGTGCTGTGAAATATATCTTCTACAAAGTTGGTACTGGTGAATGCAGACTGAATATTTTTTAGAATACTTAATATGAGAAAGATGAATATGCTTCTATCTTTAACTTTTCCTTGGTCATTATACTTTCAAGATGTGGGAAAATAGAGCTCTCTAAATGAAGCAGACAACGAACTGTAGCAGTTGATTCATAAAACCTAGGAAAACGCACACAGGAAGTAGAGCACCAACATTCTCAGGTGTTAACTCATATGTGATGTAACTTATGACAACACCGATCATTACTTCCTTGGTTGGTCATCAGATAGTATTTAGGGCCTCATTTTCAGAGGCATTTGGCTCTGCCCATATGCACTGTGAACCTGGCGTGTCCTGCTCAGTTCAGTTCAGTTCAGGTGCTCAGTCGCCCTGGACTGCAGCACGCCAGGCCTCCTGCTGTCCCTGGTTTCTTTTCCAAGAAAGCGGGGATGGAAATGCCTCCAGGCTCCTGGTCTCTGAAGTTGGAGGTGCCACGCCTGCAGAGAGGTGGTCACAAAGCAAATCATTTTGTGAAAACCTGTGTCCTAAGGCTACATAGGGGGGTGGGAAAAACTAAGGATAGCGGAGATCTTTGGGAAGAATTCTGCAAGTGAAACCTGGCAGGAATCCAAGACCCCCAGGTGATTCCCACCAAACACTCATGTCTCCCCTCCCAGCCCCCAAGGATAAGGGCGGTCTGTAGACCACCACACCCATCCTAGAAAGGGCCCCTCCCCAGGGAATGGGGTTGACCTTCTTTGTTTTTAGAAGTTCCCTCCCTAAACCCTCCCTTCCTGAGGTCTCAGGTGTGAGGTTTCCCCTCAGGGCTCTGAATGCTGGTCTTCCTCTTGTATTTCTTTCACAACCCTCAAGGCTGGGTCAGGTAGCCCAGAAGGAGGGTTCATTGTCTCTCCTGAACTGTTCTCTGTAGCTGGAAAAGGAAAGAGAACTAGCCCGGAAGATCTGCAAATAGTGTAGAGCACCAGGAGGTGATTAGCATTATCAGGTTAGTCTAAATTCCCCACTACAGATAGTGAATACAAAAAGTCGAAAAGGAGCTCAGAAAATGGTGAGGGAAACAGGAAAACTTTTTCTTCTCTTTCCCTGCAGCAGATGCATGTTAAAGAGCTGCATGGATGATTTTGAAAGTATTTTCTCAAGATGCAGGTGTGAGTTTGCGACGTAACATCCCCAGAGAAGACGCAGAGCAGGAGGAAGAAGAGGAGGAAATGGCAGCTTCTCAGGTACCTGTCCTGTCCCAGATCTGGGGCTGTGTCTGCTTTTCGTCCTGAAGTGCCTGGACTGCGAACCTGCAAACCTTTATTTCTCTGCTTCTAACCTTTCTGCCTGCGTGTTTGTTATCAACTCATTTATTTTTTCCTTTTCTTCTTATCATAGTGAAGCCTGCCTCTTTAGACCACTTCTCCCTTGTGTCCCAGCATCTTGTCTCCCTTGTCTTTGTCCTGGCTTTCTACGGAGCATGATGAATTCTCAGCATGAATTAGCGACTTTCGATTGGTGAATATATTGCCTTTGTGACAGAGAAACACGGAGAGGCACTTGTATCCGACATTCCCATTGGGATGTGGTTCGGTGTTGGGATCTTAGGGAACTAGGGGAAATGCCATGATGAGTTTACATGTGGATGCAATTTCAGCTCTTTAGGAGTTAGAAAATGCCCTTATATATTGAATAAACTCAGTGATCCTGAATTTTTCAGAAAGTGCTCAGAAATAAAAAGAAAACTAGGAGATACTGTCCTCTGTAATGCTAAGACTTAGTAGTTAAACACACTGTTAGGTAGTTAGAATAGGGAAAAAGGGTCCAAAATGGCGGTGGCTAAAAGACCTGGAAGGGAAAGCCCGCGAAAATGGAACAAAGTAAGGTCGGAGAACCGGAGTGAGAACCTCAGGTAACAACAAACATCGCCGCTGCCTAGGCCCGATTTACATAAGACAGACCTGGGGGCAGAGAAACAGATAAAAAGAGGAGCCAAAGTCCTCTTCCTTCTTCTCTGTCTCTCCCCCGCGCGATGGGGCTATCTTCTCTTCATGTCTTGGGATAGACATGTCCTCATAACTCGAAGATGGATTTTCCGGCTATTATCTAAATAAATAGAGCTGTAACACTGATTTATTTAAGAGCTATAACACGGTCTGTCCTCTGAGAGCCGTGACCCGCCAAGGGGCTTTAATGTCTGCCCCTCCAAATTTTTGTTGTGACGAGACAAAGAACCGCGGAACATACACTCGCGTGACAGCATTGTTAGGATACAAAACGGAGGAAATATATATGAAATGAATGTTGCATGAAACTGATACTTTTTATGTTAGGTTCAAGTTATAATTTCCTTATTTTTTCTGAAATGCCCAGGTTCTGATAGTGCATCTTCCGTGTGATCCATTTACACCATGACAGATGATGTCCACTGGCTCTGGTGATTTCTCTGAGATTACCAGGCTATAAAGTTCATTTTTTTCCCCTCTGTCTTTAGACAAGGCTGTGGAAAAATGGAATGAGGATCATGTGAAAACTCTCACAGTTAGTGGAGAAACTCCACATCTTCTTGGATTCTCTTTGCTTTGGAAAATGAACACTCACTGTGTTGATGATAGATACTGGGTTTTGGGAGTGGGAGTTTTCATCACTCAAGCCCAAATGTGATGTTTCCAGTACACTCCACGCTCATATCACAGACATAGTCTTCTTACTCACATCTTTGTATTTTTTGATCAAAATATTTGCAACAATCCTATTGGTGCTAATCTGTTTTCACCTGTGTTGAATTTCTAAGATACAGCTCTACAAAATGATACAGTTTTTCAAGAAATTAAAGTTTCAGAACCAAGAGCTCTAATTTATCTTATACCTTGTACATGTTTGCACCCTAGTGTATTTAAACTATACAAAGAATATCATCCAAAAGTAGATGTATATATTTTAACCCATTAAAAATAATCTCGATTTTATTGACATGAATATGAATGACTGAACTGAACTGAACATAAACTGATTTTATTGACATGAATATCGATTTTACTGACATGAGTATGAATGAACTCAGCTGAACTGAACTGAACTGAACATGAAACAGTTCAGTTCAGCCACTCATTCGTGTCTGACTCTTTGCAACCCCATGAACCGCAGCACTCCAGGTCTCCCTGTCCATCACCAACTCCTGGAGTTTACCCAAACTCATGTCCATTGAGTCAGTGATGTCATCTAACCATCTCGTCCTGTGTCGTCCCCTTCTCCTCCTGCCTTCAATCTTTCCCACCATCAGGGTCTTTTCAAATGAGTCAGCTTCTCGCATCAGATGTCCAAAATATTGGAGTTTCAGCTTGAACATCAGTGCTTCCAAACAACATCGAGACTGATTTCCTTTAGGATGGACTCATTGCATCTCCTTGCAGTCCAAGGGACTCTCAAGAGTCTTCTCTAAGACCACAGTTCAAAACCATCAATTTTTTTGTGCTCAGCTTTCTTTATATTCCAACTCTCACATCCATACATGACTACTGGAAAAACCATAGCCTTGACTAGATGCACCTTTGTGGACAGAGTAATGTCTCTGCTTTTTAATATGCTGTCTAAGTTGGTCATAACTTTCCTTCCAAGGAGTAAGCGTCTTTTAATTTCGTGGCTTCAGTCACCATCAGCAGTGATTTTGGAGCCCCCCCAAATAAAGTCAGCCACTGTTTCCACTCATTCCCCATCTATTTACCATGAAGTGAAGGGACCGGATGCCGTGATCTTAGTTTTATGAATGTTAGCTTTTCCTTAATACGCTTAGCAAGTATATAGTCTCATTTTAATATTTGTCTGTATGCATGAAAATGTTAAGATTATTTTTTTTTCTTGTTTTGGTATTCTCCCCAGTTATATAAAGTTCTTTTTTAAAAATATACGTATTTATGTTTGGCTGAGTTGTGTCTTGTTCGTAGCCTGCAGAATCTTGGAGCCATGTGGGAGACTTTGTGGCAGCAGGCACACTTTAGCTGTGGTGTATGGGATCTAGTTCTCTAACAAGGGACTGAACCCAGCCCCCTGACTTGGGAGCTCAGACTACCAGGGAGGGCCCTATATAAACTCCTATACACTTTCTTTAGTGTTGTCTCTGTGTACTTGTGTTTTACCAGTTAAATTTTAGTTCACATAAATTGAAACAAATTCAAGACCTGTCATTTAATGAATGTTTCACAAAATATTTGCAAAACGCTGGAACAACAATGCTGTTGATTTTACATTATTTATGTGATGCATTCAAGACCGTGTAAAAACTTTTAGAAAGACATATAGTATATACTATATGTATATAAATAGTTGAAAGGATGATTGCTGCTATGGGTACTATTCTATTAGACCTGTCCATTTTGTAAAACACTTAAAATTCAAAGTTAAGTATAAATTCTTACCTTAGTGGTTTACCTCTTTGCTATTCAGAACGGTCATTCATGTATCAGAATTTTCAACATTACTAGTTAAAATAAGCTTGTTAAAAATGTGGCACAATGGCCCCACTCCCGAACTCTTAGATCAGAGCACACTTTTAAAAAATATTTCCTCTTTCCTTGATAGGGGGCTTCACTGGTGGCTCAGATGGTGAAGGATCTGCCTTCAATGTGGGAGACCTGGGTCTGATCCCTTGGTGGGGATGATTCCCCTGGAGAAGGAAATGGCAACTCACTCCAGTATTCTTGCCTGAAAAAACCCATGGACAGAGAAGCCTGACATGCTACAGTCCATGGGGTCGGAAAGAATCAGACATGACTGAGTGACTAACATGCTTTCCTTGATAGACAGTTTATCCTGTGTCATACGAGTACATCTCTCAAAAATAGACAAGTTGGTGTTGATGTGATTCTTTTTTCAGTTCTCTTTCAGATCAGAATACTTTCTATAGTGGTCTGTGGATCATATCTCATATTCGTTTTCTGGGGTTAGAAATACTGTGGAAAATGGAGCAGTATAAAAATTATATTCTTGTGTAACACCAGACATTCTTCTGAATCAAAACCATTTCTCTTGCTGGTTTCATCTTGGGTCACATTAGGAAGTCTTCCCAGGTTCACGTGGCTCATGTCCTTTATATTTCAGGGGCTTCTGACATTCCAGGATGTGACCGTAGATTTCACTCAAGACGAGTGGGAATGCCTGGACCTCGGTCAGCGGGAATTGTACAGGGACGTGATGTTAGAGAACTACGGGACTCTGGCCTGCTTGGGTGAGGATAACTTCCTTCCAGAATCCATTATGTATCCTCAGGGTTTTGGTTCATTCATTCTAGAATGTCTCCTGGAATTTTCTGCTTTGTCCAGTAGAGGTTAAGATCCCTACTTTCCAGGAGAAAGTAACCTTCTTTCTTGATGTAACCTGCGTCCTTGTTGTTCAGTCGCTAAGTCATGTCCAACTCTTTGCGATCCCGTGGAATGCAGCAAGCCAGGCTTCCCTAGCCTTCTTTAACTCCCAGAGTTTGCTCAAATTCATATCCACTGAGTCAGTAATGCTATACAACCGTCTCATCTGCCACTCCCTTCTCCTGCCCTCAATCTTTCCCAGCATCAGGGTCTTTTCCAATGAATTGGCCCTTCGCATCAGGTGGCTGAAGTATTGGAGCTTTGGCATCAGTCCTTCCAATGAATATTCAGGGTTGATTTCTCTAGAATTGACTGGTGTGATCTCCTTGCTGACCAAGGGACTCTCAAGAGTGTTCTCCAGCACCACAGCTCGAAGGCATCAATTCTTTGGTGCTCAGCCTTCTTTATGTTCCAAATATCACATCCATACATGACTATTGAAAAAACCATAGCTTTGACTATATGGACCTTTGTTGGCAAAATGATGTCTCTGCTTTTTAATATTCTGTCTTTGTCATAGCTTTTCTTCCAAAGGGCAAGCATCTTTGAATTTCATGGCTGCAGTCACCATCTGCAGTAATTTTGGAGCCCGCGCCCCCTCCCAAAATTAAATCTGTCACTGTTTCCACGTTTCCCCTAGGTATTTGCCATGAAGGGATGAGACTGGGTGCCATGATCTTAGTTTTCTGAATGTTGAGTTTTAAGCCAGCTTTTTCACTCTCCTCTTTCACCCCCATCAAGAGCCTTTTTAGTTCCTCTTCAATTTCTGCCATTAGAGTGATATCATCTGTATATCTGAGGTTGTTGATATATGTTGATATCTCTCCTGGTAATCTTGATTCCAGGTTGTGATTCATCCAGCCCAGCATTTCGCATGATGTACTCTGCATAGAAATTAAATAAGCAGGGTGGCAATGTACAGCTTTGATGTACTCCTTTCCCAATCTGCAACCAGTCAACTGTTCCATGTATGATTCTAACTGTTGTTTCTTGATCTGCATATACTTCATTCTAGGTTCGTGGTAATTCTGTAAGTTCTGTGGTATCAAGTAGTGCCACTCTCCTCTTAAAACTGGAAGTCCACTACCTGCTTTTGCCTTAGTGGTACTTCAGCATGATATCAGAATCTGATTTTGATACATCTGTCTTTTAAAGGTGCTTCAAATTAACTATTTGGTGAGATCATTTTTTTTTAATGCTATTTTAACTTTCTGCCTTGACTTCTCTCTCAGCTGAATACATATTGGATTGGAAATTGATGACTATCTCAGAAAACACATATTCCTTTTTCTGATGAACAGGACTTGTGGTCTCTAAGCCAGACCTGGTCACGTTTCTGGAGCAAATGAAGGATCCCTGGGATGTAAGGAGAATGGATACAGCCATACACCCAGGTATGTGTCTATGGATGAAGCAGATAACTCCGGTGAGAGGGACAAGCATTGGGGAGGAAGTTATACTTTGTCGTGTGCTTTGAGAAGATCTGTTTCAGTGGAGATGATTTTGGATTAGCCTAGGTTTATCTGTGTCACTGTCATAGAGCGTCATCTCCTGACCCATTCCTGATTCTTTTTATCATTTGTGTGTTTTTCTCCAGTGATTAATTCTCACATTCAGAGTTAGAACCAAAATACTTGTCTTGGCCTGGAACAACCTGCATGACCTGATAACTCGTCCATTTTGGGGAGGTTTTGGAAAATCTGCATATTTCTGAGTAACTATATTAAGGCCTTTTAAAGTGCTGATTCTGTCTCTAGTCAGAAGTGTGTAGGTGGAGCTGTGAAAAAACTGCCAAACTTCTAGGAATACTGGGGACAGATGTTTTTTGTTCTCTACCATATAATTTCCAGTCAACTGGAAACTACACATGTGACCTTAGAAATATCATACTCAAATTCTTTCTTCACTGCATTCTTATCGGCATGCCTTCCAGGAAACAAACTCACTCAGTAGGCCAATGCAGATAGTGGAGTACAGTTTATTACACTGGCGCACGCAAGGGAGAGTCTCCTCTTAGCCAAGGGCCCCAACCATCATTTGTGAAAATCTTTCATACCCCATGTGTACGTGTCCAAACCCACCACCCCAATCCCTGATGCTTACAAAGGAAGGGTAAATACAAGCACAATAACCCCATCATTCACGTGTTATGTCTTCAAACAGTTAATAATCAATAAGCCCACGGTTACATTCCAACCAGTTAATAACTGATAACCTGTGCTTACATTCTGATAGATAGTGTCCGGAGGCAGGGGTGATTAGTGTCTGTTCTCTCTTAGGTGATGAGTAACCTGGATATGATCTTCAAGGTTCCCGGGTCAGGAGGGGGTCTTATCCTTCCATTGTCGTACCCACAGGCACTAAGCAGAGAGTTCATAGTCCATTGGAGAGGTGGCCGAGCACGATCAGCACAGACAGGCCTGAGATGGAATCCAGGTCCTATGAATTCCTTCTTCACATAAGACACCTCACTAAAATGAGAAAATGCAAATCTGAACTTTACAACTTGTCTTTTTTTATATGATCTAACATTAAATGTGTTAAGTATGTTTGTTTCAATTCATTAATGCTAAAATGCTTTAATATATGTATTTAACTCACAGAGTTTTTAAAGAAATTACTCATGTGGGAGTTTAGAACATTTCCCACAGTGCTTTCTTCTGATTGTTCTTCACTATTAAGCTTATAGATTAGATAGAGAAATCTTTAAGAAGAAATTTTTCTGTTCCAATAATGCTATTTTACAATGTTATGTGAGGTTTGCTATAGAGAAAGGATAAGTGATACATATACACATTTCCCTTCTTGAGGAGATTTCCTTCACGTCAAGTCACCACAGAGCATGGAGTAGAGTTCCCTGTGTTCTAACCATATTTTTCAAGTTTCACTTCTCATTTGATTTGTTAAGAACTCTTAGCTTATTAAATCTATCTTGTTTGTTATGAAACATCCCAGGACTTTATCATTCATGCCATCTATTTCTGATTAGCTCTAGGTCAATAGCATTTACTATTTTACACTCTATCAGAACATGCTCAGATAACAACAAGAGTGGTAAGTGGGTTAAACAATTAGTAAGCATTAGCATTTGTGAAAACGTTTTGTTTGTAAATTTGATTGCTTAAAGCAAAAATTACTCATTACACTGCTCAACTTCTCTTCGCTTCATTGTTCCTGTAGGTTTCTATCTTGACTTCTCCTCTGCACCATACTCCTTTGTCATCTCATCTTGTCCAGTGTTCTGTGTTTGTGGTCTCTGTCCTGCAGGCTGCAGATCCTAGTTCCTCTTGCTCTGGTGTCTGCCCCTTGGTGGGTGAAGCGGTCCAGAGACTTGTGCCCTTATGCCCTTGAGAGGGGGTTGATTGTTACTATTGTGACCAGAGCCTGCCTGGATCTTGAGGGCCGCTTCGCCTTTCCTCTGTGGCTGTCACTGTCTCTGGCGGGGTCTGCTTCCTGATTGGAGGAACAGAGGCCCTAGATCTGAAATGAGCTCTGCTCTGATCTGTGGTGCTTCTGATCTAGTGGGACTGGAGCACACCCACTGAGAGGAAAGCCACTGAGTGTTGCTCCTGTGGGGATGTTCTCCTCGGAGAGTGCTCTGCGTGTCATCTTTCATGTGCTGTGCGAGCTCTCGTCTGACCCTGTGTTGGCATTGAACTTGGCCCCACTTGAACCATGGGTATGCTAGCACATAACCCTGGTGTCTCTCAGATGTTGTTTTCACCAGGTCACCAGCAGAGGTCCACTGTAGTCATATCCCAGGTGTACGTTCATTGTGGAGCTGGACCCGCTGCGGTACTATGGGGGCAACATAGACTGTGACTTGGCCCAAATGCCTCATGTGCGTGCCTACAACGTCTGTAGTTGCTAAAGCTAGACTGGTTTTGACTGCCAGAGCCTCATTTCCATACAGATATTCTATTGGGGCTGAGTTTACCAAGCCAGTTGTGGGGTGTAACACCATGGTTTGTACAGATGCAAGGAGAGATCTCAGGTTTTCTTGCTTAGTGGCAGGGCCTTGGGGCTCAGCTGTGGTTTCAGCACCACCTGTCCATTGGGACCACCCACAGGCATGTGTTCTGAATGCGCCCCTGGAGCCCATGAGTTTACCCAGGTGGGGAGGAGACTGGGGAGGAGGAAGCAGCTGTGGGAGTCATGGGATCACTCACCTAGGTGGGAGCCATTCCTAGTGCCTGGAGAGGCAGGGACAGGCAGAGGGGCAGAGAGGCTGCAAGGAGGTTCTTCCCTTCGCTCATCACTCAACAACGCCGCTCTGCTTCTCTGGTAGTTTAGGCTTCCTCCACAAGCATCCTATTTGCAGAGATCCTCCCTCCCTCCTGTCCTCGCAGGATGTCTCCTCATGGCCAACTGTAGTCCTCTGCCTGGGTCCACTCTCCGAACCCCACATTCCAGCACCCAGGCCTTGTCTGCAGTGGAGGACACCCTCTCCAGCTGGGTGGGCAGGGCAGGGGTCATTACCCTGCATAGGTCTCACTCTGTCCTGCACGTTAGTTTCCGTGTTCTCTTCCCACAGAAAATGAGGCTCCCCTTCTGTCCCAACTGAGCTCCCGTCAATGAGGGGCTTCCCTGAATTTGGAGACCTCTTCTCTCTTCAGATCCCCCCAGGGTTTTGTGGGACCCATTCGGCTTTTTCCTCTTCCCTTTCCTCCATGACTCTCCTGTCCTACCTGGCTCAGCAGGAATCTTTTTTGTCCTTTCAGGTGTCCAAGTTCCTCTGCTCATGTTCGGCAGGGCTCTGTGAGAATTTTTCCACTTCAAGATGTATTCTTGATTCTGTGGAGAGAGATGAACTCCATGTCTTCCGAATCCTCTGCCATCCTGACTCCTTCTATCTCGGTTTTAGGCTTCATCTAGCCAAGTCTATGCCAATTTTATGTAAATTGTAGACTATATTCCCCAACAATAGTAAGTAGAATATCTTATTTTTTTGGTATCTTTCAGCTGTGTCTTCTCTCGACACCCAGGGTTTGAGGACCCAAAAGCCAGGCTTAGAAGATTTACTCCCAACAACAAAGCTAGGAATATATGAAAGATTTCACCTTGCACATTTACATTTAACCAAAGACTGGAAATCTATAAGGGCATATAAAGAGCGGAGAGTATGTTATGATGGACACAACCAAATTGGTTCAGTTTCCCATAAAGTAAACATTACCGCCAAAAGAAATCAAGGATGTGAATCAAATAAGGAAAAACCAATTTCAGATGACCAATTTCAGTCATCAACATCTGCAGTTAAGTGTATATTTGTCAGCAAAGATCCACATCATCTCTTGAAATGTACATGTTCTCTGAAGGGAAATATGGAAAATCTGGAAATTCATCTAGTCTCTCCTGCAAATACTCCTTCAAACCTACACTCTGAGCATAGCTGTCTATTAAATATACATTCAAACATGTCTGGAAACCAGAAGCTTAAACATGAGGGGGAACATTCCCAATGCAGTCAATTTGAGGGATCCTTTAACGAGGGTTTCTTGTCCTTGAACCAGCAACTATTTTCTCCTTGTTCCAAAATCTGTAATGTTGATAATAATGGGAGAGAACTTATTCAACCATCATTGCCCAATACGTATGGAGGTATAGTTAGTGTGGAACAACTTTACAAGTGTAACAAAATGAGGAATGCCTTAAGCAGGAGCTCTACCCCCAATAATTACCGGAGTATACATGATGGAATAAGAAGCTCTTCATGCAATGAAACTGGGCATAATGTTGACCAAGACTCATATCTCATGAAACAACAGGGACATCAATTTTCAGACAAGAATTCTAAACATCATAAGTGTAGGAATATATTTTATCAAAGCTCAAATCTTACTATTCATACTTATGTGTATGGATATTGGAGAGAAGACTTATAATTGTTATGATTATGGTAAAGTTGTTAACCAGTCTTCAAAACTTACTCAACAGCAGATAATTCAGAGTAAGCAGAAATATTGCAAGTATACTACATGTGGAAAAGTCTTTAGTAACTCACCAAATCGAAGTAGACATAGGAAAGTTCATACAGGAAGGAAACAGTTCAAATGCCCAGCATGTGGCCAAACCTTTAATCAGAGTTCATATTTAACTGAACATCTGGGAATCCATGCTGGGGAGAATCCATACAAATTTACAGAATGTGACAAAGTGTTTATCTGCTGTTCATGTGTTACTCAACATCAGCAAATTCATACTAGGGAGAGACCTTATAAACGTACAGCATGTGGCAAGGCTTTTAAGCAAAGTTCAGCTTTAACTGAACATCAGTGAATCCATACTGGGGAGAGACCTTATAAATGTTCAGCATGTGGCAAGGCTTTTAAGCGGAGTTCAAATTTAACTGAAGATCAGCGAATCCATACTGGGGAGAGACCTTATGAATGTACAGAATGTGGCAAAGCCTTTATCCGTTATTCTTTTCTTACTCAACATCAGCGAATCCATACTGGGGAGAGACCTTATAAATGTACAGCATGTGGCAAGGCTTTTAAGCAGAGTTCAAATTTAACTAACCATCAGCGAATCCATACTGGGGAGAGGCGTTATAAATGTATAGCATGTGGCAAGGGTTTTAAGCAGTGTTCAGCTTTAACTGAACATGACCGAATCCATACTGGGGAGAGACCTTATAAATGTACAGCATGTGGCAAGGCCTTTTCCCAGAGTCTTTCTCTACATCAGAGAGTTCATGCGGCAGAGAAATGTGAGAAATGTAAGGAATGTGGCCAAGGATTTCCTCACAGCCATCACCTCACTCACAGTCAAAGAATTCATACTGCAGAGAAAGCCTAGAAATGAATCACTGATAAAAAAATTTGGTCCTAGATATATAACTTTGAAAAAATGAATGTTTTCTTTGAAAAGATACATGAATGAAATAAAAAAATGTAGAAAACTGCTTAATCAAACATCAAGAGTAACTCAATACCAGAGAATTCATACTAGAAAGCATTTTATTCGTACCAGTTTTGTTGAATTACTCTAAGCAGAAACACTGTAGCATGTATTCCATAAGTAAAACACATACAAAATTGATAGTATAGATCACAAGATGAAGCGGTGGATATTTGCAGAGGTATAACTATTATTCATGTATCCTTGCTTATGTTAACATTATTTGAGATTATTAAGGAACCAAAATGAATATAATTGAACTCTCAAATTACTACATGCTGTGATTTGTTTCTACTGTATATATGAACTTATGTTTTTGATGGTTGTTGCCCAATGGTAAGAGAAGCCCTTCTATATTAAGTGGGAATCATTTACATTTATTCTCCAATTTATAAGATTAAGAACACAGTCATGTTATATACACACTAAACCTCTGAATGGAGGTATTTTTCACTAATGTCAAACACCTCTGTGGTCACCATGATGTAAGTGTCCAGGGAATAATTCAAAGTGAGATAGAAGTTTGCTCTAAGCTTTCAATAATTATGTCAGTTGCTTTTTAAGCATAAAACAAGGATAGTTCATGAAAATCTAAGGTATTTTTATAACAGCAACATAGAGAAATCATGCATATTATGTGACAGGCTTGAAGGAAGGAGACCTCTTCTATCTGATGTAAGTATAGAAAACTCTTTCTGGAAAAGTCATATTAATATAATTAATGTCTATTCATGTTTGCTAAATTAGCCTCCATTTTGTAAACCATATAAATCACATTCTGTGATCATTTCATCAGAGAAACAGGAAAGTTTTTAGAAGCTTGTAATGTGTATTTTAATCAAGGATCAAACAACAATTGTAAAAGGTTTTATTCCATCTGTGTAAAATTAATGTGTCTTGATTAATAAAAGTGAATGGTTTTTCAGTGTTACAATTGATGTGGAATGAATGAAGGGTTATCACACCACCAGCATTAACCTCTCCCACCTATTTAAGGTTGCAGGAAAGGTAACGTAATGATAAACTATTTGTAGCACAGGGGGATGGCATCTGTAGAAATTAGTTCCTTACTGCCGTTAAACCTCTCATAACTTCATATATTTCCCACCATTTCTATGTTGTATCTCCTCTCCCATTTTTATCTACTTGGACATCGTGGTGGTTCTAATAAGAAGGATCATACAGAGCACTGTTGAGAGCTCCCCTTAGCTGCTCCATGCTGTTGCTGCCTCAGCGTCTGTCTGGGGAGCAGGCAGCCTGCAGGTCCTTGAATTTACACCAGCCAGTCCTGTGAGCACCTGCACTAGATTACCCCTTCCTTGGCACCAGCAGTCTTGCTGAACCCCAGGGTCTAATCCACAGGCCCCCTTCAGTGATACCCTCTGAGCTCACCAGAATCCTGCTCATCTTTGTTTGAATGGATCCCTCCACATTCAGCCTGTGGGACTCACAGCACTTCACCCAGGGTCAGGTCTGAACCCCAAGTATTGGAATTTTCTCTGCCTGGTTCTAGCCTTGACCTTCCTCTGGGGCTCTCAAGGCTTGCTGTGAATTTTCTGAGGACCTAGAATCATAAACTCACCCTTTTCTCATGGCTTTGGCATACTTTGAATGCAATATAAAAATATCTGAAGATATATACATAATGATTTATATAACACACATTGAATACAAGATACGAAGATCTGAAGGTATACAAGTTAGCAGTGAGAAAACCAACAAGGAATATGTGAGTGTATGTGTATCCTTACACACTTAACTTAGAGAATTGAGAAATGCTAGATCAAACTGGTCATTTCAGAAGTGCAGATGATTTACTAAAAACTGTAAAGCTTGCCAATTTGTTGATTAATCTGTTTTGTCTAGTTTTCATGGAATTTATTTCCTTAAATGTCAGGAGGTTATGTATTTTAAGGAACTTCCACACAGTCCACCCACGTGACTGCACCAGCTTACTTTCCCTCCAGCCATGTAGGAGGTTCCCTGATCTCCAAGCCCCTTCAGCGTTTTTGATATTCTTAGTGGGCTTTTTGCTCATTGTTATTCTGACTGGTATGGGATGATATATCCCTGTAGCTTTGTTCTGCATTTCTTATTGTTTAGCACTGGTGAGCATCTTTCTTTTGCCTCCTGCCCATGGAAAAGAGCAAGCTATCCGCCCAGCCTCAGCAGCTGTGGGGCACAGGCTTAGTCTCCCCACAGCATGTGGAGTATTCCTGGGCCAGGGATGAAGCCCTTGTCCCCTGCAGTGTCAGATGGATTCTCGACCACTGGGTGACCAGTCTGTTTAGCTTTTTTTCCTTTTGAGACATATATATATATATATATATATATATATATATATATATATATATATATATATATATATAATATATATAATTGCTTTACAATGTTGTGTTAGTTTGTGCTGTATGACATCATCAATCAGCCGTAAGTATTCATAAATCTTCCCCTTCCTTGCCCTCCCTCCCGTGGTCTCCGTTTCACCCCTCTGCTCAGCACAGAGCACCAAGCTGAGCTCCCTGTGGTAAACAGCAGCTTCCCACCAGCTACCTATTTTCACCATCAGTTCAGTTCAGGTGCTCAGTCGTGTCTGACTCTTTGCGACCCAATGGAGTGCTGCTCACCAGGTCTCCCTGTCCGTCACCAGCAAGCTCCTAGAGCTTGCTCAAACTCATGTCCATTGAGTCAGTGATGCCATCCAACCACCTCATCCTCTGTCGTCCCCTTCTCCTCCCCCTTTCAATCTTTCCCAGCATCAAGGTCTCTTCAAATGAGTCAGTTCTTCACATCAGATGGCCAAAGTATTGAAGTTTCAGCTTCAACATCAGTCCTTCCAATGAATATCAGGACTGATTT